TCGTGATGAAATGCTTAGTGTTTTGTTTGATTCTGGTGCCACACATTCTTTTATTGCTGATTATGTAGCTGAAGCATTTGGTCTGCATGTGATAAAAATGAAAACTCCTATGCGTATTGTTACGGCTGTGGGAAGTGTTTTTAGTGAAGACTATGTTTGTGAAAATGTGAAAATGTGAAATTCAAGTATGATGGCAGGGAATATTCTGCCGATTTTATTGTATTACATCTTGCCTCGGTGAATTTAATTCTGGGGATGGATTGGTTGTCTAAGTACTGTGTGAAGATTGACTGCTGCAGTAAAACCATTTCTGTCTCATCTCATGATGAAGAAAGGGAGTCTCCTTATTTGTCTGTACTTCGGGTGGTAAAGGCCTTGAAGGCAGGAGATTCCGGGTATGTTTTATTGGGAGGTCTGGTTGGCGTCAACAAGGAGCCAATTTCTGTTATTCCGATTGTCTCCGAGTTTGAGGATGTCTTTCTGGATGAAATTCTGCACTTTCTTCCAGAGAGGGAAATTGAATTTGCAATTGACTTGTTACCTGGAGTGGGGCCTATCTCTCTTGCCCCATACCGGATGTCACCTCTGGAATTATCTGAATTGAAGAAGCAGATTGAGGACTTGTCCAGTAAAAATTTTATCAGACCGAGTGTGTCTCCGTGGGGAGCACCGGTGATCTTTGTTAAGAAGAAGGATGGGTCTATGAGATTATGTACAGACTACCGGCAGTTGAATAAGGTTACTGTTAAGAATAAGTATCCTTTGCCGCGTATAGATGATTCGTTGGATCATTTGTGTGGAGCGACTGTATTTTCTAAGATTGATCTCCGGTCCGGGTATCATCAGATCCGGGTAAAGCCGGATGACGTTCCGAAGACAGCTTTCAGGTCCCGATATGGACACTATGAGTATCTGGTTATTCCATTTGGGCTTACAAATGCACCAGCCGTTTTCATGAGTTATATGAATCAGATCTTTAAAGCCTATCTGGATCAATTTGTGGTTGTCTTTATTGATGACATACTGATATATTCAAAGAGTAAAGAAAAGCATTCTGAGCATTTAAAGGTTGTTTTGCAGATTCTGAGAGAGCATCAGTTGTATGCTAAATCGTCAAAGTGTGAATTCTGGCTTTCTGAGATACAATTTCTGGGCCATGTCATCTCATCTGAAGGAGTGGCAGTGGACCCGAGTAAGACTGAAGCAGTATTAGAATGGGAACGTCCTAAGAATATTACAGAGCTCAGGAGTTTTCTTGGTTTGGCTGGGTATTATAGGCGTTTTATTGAGGGGTTCTCACGGATGGTACTACCTTTGACACGGTTAACCCGTAAGGGGAACCCATTTGTATGGACCCAAGAATGTGAAGTGAGTTTTCAGGAGTTAAAAAGGAAGTTGACTACAGCTCCGGTATTGATATTGCCGGATCCTGCCAGTAAATTTGTGGTGTATTGTGATGCTTCTAAGTTTGGGTTAGGCTGTGTGTTAATGCAGTTTCGTCAGGTGGTCGCGTATGCTTCTCGGCAGTTAAAACCGCATGAGGAGAACTATCCGACACACGATCTTGAGTTGGCAGCCGTAGTGTTCGCATTGAAAATCTGGCGACAATTTCTATACGGGGCCGATTTCATTGTCTACAGTGACCACAAAAGTTTGAAGTATCTGTTTGATCAGAAAGAGCTGAATATGAGGCAACGCCGATGGGTGGAATTCCTGAAGGATTATGATTTTGAATTGCAATATCACCCTGGTAAAGCCAATGTAGTAGTTGATGCTTTAAGCAGAAAGGCGCTTGGTATGACCAATTTGATGACTTCCGAGTATAATTTGATTGAGAAATTCAGGGATCTCCACATTCCTGTGAATACAGAAGATAGTCCGCATTTATTGACTACTACGGTAGTTCAGAATTCATTAGTTGAGCGGATTAAAGAAGCTCAATTGCTTGATGAAGAGATTCAGTCTATGAAAGAGCAGGACTTTTTGTCCACTGATAGGTTCGGTCTTAAGTTTTACAAGGATCGGATCATTGTTCCAAAAGATCAGATGGTAAATGAGGTATTGACTGAGGGTCACATGGGTAAGTACACTATCCATCCTGGTGCTACCAAGATGTACCAAGACTTGAAACGAAATTTCTGGTGGTCGGGAATGAAGAAAGACATTGCTCTATTTGTGAGTAAGTGTTTGACATGTCAGAAAGTTAAGATTGAGCATCAGAGACCTTCTGGATTACTGCAGCCCTTGGATATTCCGGAATAGAAATGGGTCAGTATTTCTATGGATTTTGTAGTGGGATTACCGAGAACTCAGGCTGGTTTTGATTCTATCTGGGTAGTTGTTGACAGATTGACAAAGTCTGCACATTTCATACCAGTTAAAACGAGTTTCTCCACAGAGCGGTTGGCTCGGATATATGTAAGAGAGATTGTGAAACTTCATGGTGTTCCTGAAAGTATCATTAGTGATCGGGACCCTAAATTTACTTCTAGACTTTGGGATGCAGTGCAACAGGCCTTCGATACACAGCTGAGGCTGAGCACGACTTATCATCCCCAGACTGATGGTCAGACTGAGAGGACTATTCAGACCCTGGAGGACATGTTGAGGGCTTGTGCCTTAGAGCAGGGAGATGCATGGGATAAATATCTTCCTCTGGTGGAATTTTCCTACAATAATAGTTATCATGCCAGTTTGGGCATGGCTCCCTATGAAGCTTTGTATGGTCGTAGGTGCAGGGTGCCTACTTGTTGGTCAAAAATTGGTGAGAGGCAGTTATTTGGGCCTGATATGGTCCAAGAGACTACCGATCAAATTATGATGATTAAGGATCGATTGAAGAAAGCACAGAGTCGCCAAAAGAGTTATTATGATGCAAAGCATCGACCCTTTGAATTTTCAGAAGGGGATCATGTATTTATCCGTTTGTCTCCGACTACGGGTGTTGGGCGTGCTCTAGGAGTGAGGAAGTTGAGTCCTAGGTTCATCGAGCCCTACCAGATTATGAAGAGGGTCGGACCTGTGGCTTACCAGCTTGCCTTACCTCCACATCTGTCAAATTTGCATACTGTTTTTCACATCAGTCAACTTCGAAAATATGTGCCGGATGAATCCCACATTGTACAGCCGGACAATATCGAAGTAAGAAAAGACTTGAAGTTTGTTGTGGGACCGTTGAAGGTTCTAACACGTGATGAAAAAGTGTTGAGGAACATGACTATTCCCATGATCAAGGTACAATGGGAATGATTAACTCCTGAGGACGCTACTTGGGAGCGGGAGAATGAGATTCTCCAGCAGTACCCTGAGTTTGATGTCAGGTATATGTTATATTTGATATTTGATTTTGTGGGCAAAATCCTTAAAAGGTGGGGTGAATATAATGACCCAAAATGGTAAATCTTAATTAGAGATTTAATTTAAGGATTTAAATGCCATAATTAGGTTCAGTGAGTGATTCCGAGTATTTTGACTGTAATCATGACTATGTTATGAACAGTGCGTTCTGTCGGAGAATTCGCAATCTTGTGAATTAACCGGTAGAGCTTAAATAAGCAAAATGATTTGAGAGACATAATTTGACAATTCTGACGACAAATATGAGTTCAGAATGAAAAATTGTATAGTCTGACACTTTCCGTGAAAATCTCGTGAATAGTGTTTCTACCGGGTATTCTGTACTGCTGTTGAGCAACCGGTAGAGTCCAGAAAATAAATAAATGATGGAATAAGAGTAAGAAAGTCCAATGTATGCTATACAAGTCAAAATAGGCCCAATGATGATAAGTTTATAAGTTTTGAGTTTCGTAAGTAAAAGACTGACAGTTAGTGGTTTTGCTTGTTTTGTTGATTTCTTCTTGAATTCTCAACCAAATCTTATGACCCACCACTTTAAATTGATTAGGAACCACTCAAGGAATCCATTGCACCTATCCATTTGAGCTATAGTTGAGTGTGTGAAGAGTTATTCCTCCTCTTATTTTCGGATTACTATTCATTGGAGGAGAAAAAATGGGTTTTTGATGGAGCTTTGCTTGGAGGTTATTCTCTAGGCTTTGTACAAGTGATTAGAGGTAAGAAACCTCTATTTCTATGGTATTATTTTGTGATCTATGTTTTGAAAATTTGGAGCATGTTTTGAGTGGGAAATATTTGATGTTAGAAGGTGAAAATTATGATGGATTGTTGTTGGTTAGGAAAGATAGTGTTTAGTAAGCATCAACTTGTGATAAAAAAATTGAAAAGCCCTAGTGCACCTTTCCCCTAGGTTTCGGCCTTCATGGGTTATATAGGGTTCAACATGCAAATTTTTATTGTATGTTTGAAAAGGTAAAATATGTTGGAATGTAGTGTAAATGGATGAATTGGTGGAAATGTCAAAGTTGGAAAAAAATCCTACAAATACTTGCTCTATGTTTCGAACTATAGGATGTTTAGGGGTATATATATATTGGTTAAATTTTATTCTAATAAAATGTGTTGCATTTTAATGTACCCATGGATGAGTTAAGAAGTGAAATCACAGGAAAAATGGTTGAAGAATACCTTGAGTCACTAAGGGTATGCCCGTGACTTAAAAGAAAATAGTGTGATTTATGTGGAAAATTCTTAAGGAAATGCTTGATTAAATTAAAGAACGTCAACGGGTATATAGAGGTTTAGACTTATGTATTGACATAGAATTGGCAAAAATATAAAGAAAGGAAAATAAGCGATAAAATGTATGCTTATGAAATAATCATGGCATAGTATCATTTTATTGATGCATTGTAAATTATTCTCTAGGTGTGCCTAGGGATTGAGAAGGATCGGAAATCTCTTGAAGCGATAAAAGTAACTTGTTCCACAAGTAAGCGTATTGGTAAAGCTTCAAGAGGTAAGCTCTATGTTTAAGGAGTCTTTTCCTGCTTGAGTGCTCCACCATAGTTAGTGGACTATGGTTGGACTCTATGACTGTATTGATACTCTGTATAGGTGCATTCATATAGAGTTATTTGATGATATGATATGATATGATATGAAATGATCTGATATGATATGAAATGATCTGATATGACATGATATGATATGGCTGGTTCTGATATAAATTCTGTATTGACTTCTGGTACACTGATGTCTTCTTAGGACTTTCCTGAGATTGACTATGTACACCTCTGAGATACTCTGGTTCCACTTGGGGTCATCCCTTGGGAACACGTGCGTTGAATTCCGCTTGGGGTCATCCCTTGGGAATTACAGCGCACATCTCTGTTATGATATGGTTATATGTTCTGTTCTGTTATGATATTTGTTATATGTTGTACTGGTATACTCTGTATTTGAATTTCATACAGGAGTGAGCCAGGGGTATGGAGAATTCTCTATAAACCTGGAGCTTACTGAGATTTGAAATCTTACCCCTCGTTGGGGCAACATTTTCTGGTGCACAGATTTCCGCTGAGCCTTCGTTAGGCAGGGACACGACACAGGGCTGAGACGTTTGATGAATCAGTATTTTGAGTAGCTGTAGGCTACTAATCTTTTTGGAGTGTACCTATGTATTTCGTATTTCCGTAGTGATGGATCATTATGTTAGATCCTGTATTTTGTATATGGCCTGTATATGTCTTGTACATGTCATTCAGTTGATGCATGTACCTTTTGTATTCAGGCATGTTGATACGACTATGTAGTATTCAGTTATGTTTCTGTATTGGACTGCATGCTGTTAGATTAGTGGCACGGAGCCAAATTCTGCATGCGCCCATGGATGGGTATCTGATTATATTGCATGACTAGTACTTCTGAATATGAATATTATTGAAACTGTCTATCAGGAACTCTTGGGAGTGGGATTGGAAAATCCCCAGTTGTCCGGTTTACAGAGGTTACTCTGTCCGATTTTTGGTTATACTTTGTATGAAGCTAAGAAGAAAAAGAAAAAGTTAGCCCGTATTTCCGTAAGATAAGTCTTCCGTTGTATCTGTTTATATCATATGTATGTTAATTGAACCAGCTCGAGAAGGGGATGTTACAAAATCAGTCTAGGAGAGTGGCTGGTTTACATGAAATAGACCCTGTAACAACCCTTTCAGCCAAGTTTGATGCACTGTCCACTTTAGTGAGATCCCAAGGACAAGCCATTGAGGCAAAATTGTCTCAGCCTCAAGTTTCAATACCTACACCTCAAGTGCCAGTGACCCAACCTCAAGTCAATGCAGTGAACACAGGTGAAACCTGTGTTTGCTATGGTGGGCCCTATTTGTTTGGTAGCTGCCCATCCAACCCAGAATCTGTGTATTATGTGGGGAACCAAAATAGGAATCAAAATAATTTTCCCAATAACTTTAACCAAGGTTGGAGGCAGAATCAACAGCCCCAATATTTCCAAAGGCATGGGCAGCAAGCTGGCCCCTCCAATGCTCAAACCAAAATGCCTTTTCCCACCCAGAACTACCAACAAACTTCAAGGCAGCAAGTTGTTGTTCAACCTAGTGAGATTCCTATTGCTCCACCTTCTTCCTTAGAAGCTTTGTTAAGGGAATATTTGGTTAAGAATGAGACTAAGCAAAACAGTTTGGAAGTTGTTGTCCAAAGTATTCCTGCATCTTTGAGGAATATAGAATCCCAACTAGGCCATTTAGCAAACACTATGAATACCAGACCCCCTGGTACCCTGCCCAGTAACACTGAAGAGCCTAGGAGAAATAAAGAGCAATGCAATATGATAGAGCTCATAAATGGCAGATCTATAAATCAGCCAGAAGTTGTGGTTAGACCTTCCACATTAAAAAAAAAAAGAGAAGAGGAGAACATGCAGAAAGAAAAAGATGCAAATTCTGAACCTGTTCAGAATTCTGTTGTTCATGATAGCCCTCAAGGGGCTGCGCATAGTGACCCCTTGCCCATTCTGGTTGAATCTGACAATCAGACCCCTATAGATGAGCCTTTAAGGAATATTTCCATGGAAAAATCCTCTCCAAGGGGTTCGGCACCTAAGCCAAATAATGAGACACATGCTGCCTCAAAAAGACCCCCACCACCTTTTCCTCAAAGGTTACAAAAACAGAAGCAAGATAATCAGTTTAGGAAATTTCTAGACCTCCTAAAGCAGTTGCATGTCAACATTCCATTTGTGGATGCATTAGAACAACTGCCCACTTATGTGAAATTCATGAAAGAAATTCTTTCAAGAAAAAGGAGGCTAGAAGAGTTTGAGACTGTTGCTCTTACACAAGAGAGTAGTCAATATTTGCTTAGAAAGATACCTCCTAAACTATGAGACCCAGGAAGTTTTACAATCCCACGTACCTAGGAGACCCAGGAACTTTTACAATCCCATGTACCATAGGAGACCATTACATAGGCAGAGCATTGTGTGATTTAGGTGCTAGTATCAATTTAATGCCTCTGAGTGTGTACAAAAAGCTAAAAGTAGGAGAGCCTAATCCCACCACTGTCACTTTATAGTTGGCTGATAGGTCCCTAGTTTATCCTGAAGGGAAGGTAGAGAATGCCTTGGTAAAGGTAGATAAATTCATTCTACCTGCTGACTTTATTATCTTGGACTATGAGGAAGACCGAGAGGTTCCAATTATTTTGGGAAGGGCTTTCTTAGCCACTGGTGGGGCTGTAATAGATGTAAAAAAGGGGGAGTTGGCAATGAATGTGAATAGAGAGCAAGTTAAGTTTAATATCCTAAAAGCCATGAAATATCCTAGGGATGTAGATGAGTGTTCTAGGCTGGATATCATTGACTGTTTGGTCAAAGATAAATTTTTGCATGAGTCTTCATTAGACTCTTTACAAAATTCTGGTTTTGAGGGTCTAGAAATCAGTCAAACCGATTCAGAGGAAGTAGTTAAGTGGTTAAATTCCAGAACTGATGTGGTTTGGAAAAATAAAAATTTTGAGTCCTTGGAATTAGCCAAGAGAGGGCTAAAACTTCCTAAACCCTCAATTGAAGAGCCACCTGTGTTAGAGCTCAAGCCTCTGCCCAATCACCTTAGGTATGCTTACTTAGGAGAAAAAGACACTTTGCATGTCATAGTGTCCAATCTGCTCACTGTTTTAGAGGAAGAAAAATTGCTGGTTGTTTTGAAAAAATTTAAAAGAGCTATAGGTTGGTCTTTGGTAGACATAAAAGGCATTAACCCCTCTTATTGCATGCATAAAATCCTTTTTACTGACCCAACCAGCAGCTCTAGAGAACAACAAAGGAGGCTTAACCCAATTATGAAAGAGGTAGTAAAAAAGGAAATTATTAAGTGGCTGGATGCTGGGATCATATATCCCGTTTCTGACAATAACTGGGTCAGCCCAGTACAGTGTATCCCTAAAAAGGTGGGATCACTGTTGTGGAAAATGAAAAAAAAAATTAATACCCACTAGGACTGTCACTGGTTGGAGGATCTGTATGGACTACAGAAAACTCAACAAAGCCACTAGGAAAGACCATTTCCCTTTGCCTTTTATTGACCAAATGCTAGATAGATTGGCAAGTAAGGAATATTACTACTTTCTAGATGGCTATTCAAGGTACAATCAAATAGCCTTAGCCCCTGAGGACCAGCCAAAGACCACCTTTACTTGTCCCTATGGCATCTTTGCCTTTAGGAGAATGCCCTTTGGGCTGTGCAATGCACCATCCACCTTTCAAAGGTGCTTGATGGCTATTTTTACTGATATGATAGAACAGTTTGTAGAAGTCTTTATGGATGACTTCAGTGTTTTTGGGGACTCTTATGAAGAGTGCCTAGAAAATTTGGAAAAAGTCCTTGAGAGGTGTGGGGAGACAAATCTGGTCCTAAAATGGGAGAAATGTCATTTTATGGTGAGAGAAGGCATTGTGTTAGGACATAGGATATCCAAGGCTGGGTTAGAGGTTGATAAAGCTAAGATAGATCAAATTGAGAAGCTGCCACCCCCTGTTAACATAAAGGGGATAAGGTCTTTCCTTGGGCATGCTGGATTTTATAGGAGGTTCATCAAAGATTTTTCAAAAACTTCTAAGCCTATTAGTCATTTGCTTGAAATCAACACCCCTTTCCATTTTGATGAGGCTTGTCATAAAGCCTTTGAGGAGCTAAAACAGAAATTAATTTATGCTCCCATAATAATAGCCCTGACTGGTCACTGCCCTTTGAGTTAATGTGTGATGCAAGTGATTGGGCAGTGGGGGTTGTTTTAGGGCAAAGAAAAAAATAGAGTTTTTCACTCTATTTACTATGCCAGCCGAACCTTAAATGGAGCCCAATTGAACTATACAGTGACTGAAAAGGAACTGTTGGTTGTAGTGTTTGCCTTTGACAAATTTAGATCTTATTTGGTAGGCACCAAGGTCATTGTGTATACTGACCATTCTGCCATAAAATATTTGGTGGAAAAGAAAGATTCAAAGCCTAGGTTGATTAGATGGGTTCTTCTCCTTCAAGAGTTTGATATGGAAATTAAGGATAGGAAATGAACTGAAAATCAAGTGGCTGATCACTTGTCTAGGCTTAATGAAGGGCAACAAGATGAAGAGGTAGTTGAGCAAGCCATTAAGGAAAATTTTCCTGATGAGCAACTGTTTTTAGTTGCCACCAACACAACCCTATGGTATGCTGATTTGGCTAACTATTTAGTTAGTGGGGTACTTCCTAAGGAGCTGAGTTACCAACAAAGGAAAAAGTTGGTACATGAGAGCAGATTTTATTTGTGGGATAAACCATACATGTTTAAAAAATATGCTGATCAGATAATTAGGAGATGTGTGTTGGAGGAAGAGAAAGAGGCAATTTTACAGCAGTGTCATGACTCACCATATGGTGGTCATTTTGGTGGTCTAAGGACAGCAGCAAAGGTGCTGCAATCTGGTTTTTATTGGCCTACTTTATTCAAGGATGCCAATGTATATGTCCATAAATGTGATAGATGTCAAAGGACTGGTAATGTGTCTCGAAGGCAAGAAATGTCTTTGAAACCAATTTTAGAAATAGAAATCTTTGATGTCTGGGGCATAGATTTTATGGGCTCATTTCCACCCTCCTTTGGGAACCAATATATTGGTAGCTGTGGATTATCTTTCCAAATGGGTAGAGGCTGCTGCCTTACCCACAAATGATTCAAAAGTGGTAATTAAATTCTTGAAAAAGAATATTTTTACCCGATTTGGAACTCCAAGAGCCATTATAAGTGATGGAGGTAAGCACTTTGCTAGTAGACAATTTGAAGCCCTTTTGGCCAAATATGCAGTTAAGCATAAAGTTTCTACTGCCCACCACCCACAAACAAGTGGGCAAGTAGAAGTTACAAATAGAGAAGTTAAAAGGATTCTAGAAAAAGTTGTGAATCCTTCAAGGAAGGATTGGTCCCTAAAATTAGATGATTCCTTGTGGGCCTATAGGACAGCTTATAGAACACCTTTAGGTTGCTCTCCTTACAAGCTAATTTTTGGTAAAAATTGCCACCTACCCTTAGAGCTTGAGTATAAGGCATATTGGGCTACTACTCAACTGAATGTTGATGCCACTGCCTCAGGAGAAAAGAGAATTCTCCAATTGAATGAAATGGATGAATTTAGATTAAATGCTTATGAAAATGCTAAGCTGTATAAAGAACAAATGAAGAGATGGCATGATAAGCAGATCTTAGATAGGCAGTTTGCAGTGGGGCAACAGGTCCTGCTCTTTAATTCTAGACTAAAATTCTTCCCAGAAAAGTTGAAGTCTAGGTGGTCTGGTCCATTTAAGGTAACAAAAGTCCATTTGCATGGTGCAGTGGATATTTCGAATGAGAAAGATGGGACCAAATTCACTGTTAATGGTCAAAGGCTAAAAAATTATTTGGGGGAGGGAATTGAGAAAGCTCGAATTTCCATATCTCTTACTGACCCTCCCACCATTTGAGCACAAACAAGCAGTGAAGAGTCTAGCTTAAGACTCTAAAAATTAAGCTTTGTTACAGTTTTGTTTTTGCATACATTTTAGTTGTTGTTTTGCTTGTTTGTTAAAAAAAAAATGGTTTGAATGCTGGGATATTTGTTAATATTTCCTACAACCTGTTTTGTTAAATTCAGTTTACTTTCCATTTTATTGCTAACAATTTTTTTTTTTTTTATGTTTTGACAGGTGATTTTCATAACTACTCAGATTTAAGTTTGGGGGTTTTTACCACTACTGGTGCTATCTACTCCTTCTCTTTTACTCTCTGTTTAGTTTTTACTTTTAGTAATTTTTCTTTTAATTCTAACTTTTAGCCAGTACCTATGGTGAGGAAAAACTTGAGGAGTGGGGGATCATCTACACTAGATATCCAACACTCCACAAATGACCCAGAAAGTCATTCTATCACATCTTTCACCTCTACATATGTTCTTCAGAGGTTTGAAGAGATAATAAAACATAGGGAACTCATTCCAGATAAGGGATTTGAGGGGCACAATGACTATCCTCCCTATGTATATGAAGTGAAGAAAGCCCAAAAATGGGAGAAATTCTTTTTGCACCCTCAGCATGTGGCTAACATCACTGTTGTGCAAGAATTTTATGCTGAGGTCACTGATAAAAGAAAACTGAATTAGTTTGTAGGGGAGTTACGATCTCATATGGGCCCAAAGCAGTGAGGGCATTTTATTCTCTCCCCAAGCCCAAGGATGAATATAATGAGTTCAAAAAGAAATCTGACCATTCCTTTTTGCAGGAAGTCTTGCTGACCATTGTTGTCCCAGGGACACAGTGGGAAGTCAACAAAGAGAACCACACCATCCATAAAAAATATTTGTTGGAAAAAGCCCAGGTGTGGTATCACTTTATCCGAGCAAGACTCCTTCCCACTTCCCATGTCCATTTAGTGACCAAAGATAGGACAATTTTTTCGTGGTGTCTACTAACTGGAAAGAAAGTAGATGCTGCCCTTCTTATTCAAAAGGGAATTGGTGAGTGTGCCTCCCACAAAAAAGAGAAGTTGTGGTATCTTAGTTTCATTACTCGTCTGTGCAAATCCAAGGGTGTGATTGACAACCCTTTGGATAAAATGTTCAGTGTCAAAGAGATGATAAACCTTGTTTGTATCTCTAAGCTAAAAAAGGGGATTAAGACAATTTCTGAAAAGGAATTTGTCAAAGAGGTTTTGCATGCTGCACCTCAATCCACCCCAAATTTGTCAAAAAAAAGGAAAATCTGCCCTTAAAGCAGAACCTAAGAGCAGTAAAAAAAGAGACAACAAGAAAGCTTCAGGTGAAGGTCTTTCGACCAAACGTTATGAATCCCCATCTCCCCCATCAAATGAAGAGGCTTATGC